ATAAAAAACTTGTAACTAATATTCGATATTAAGTATTTTGTAAACGAAAAAGAAGATTGAGGAATTATTTATAAAATTGAAATAAAGTAGATTCGGCTGTGAATTAAAGGAAAAATCGCACACTTCATGATTATAGGCTCATATTCTAAAGTGGATTAAAAATCTACTTACAGAATTAATATATTACAATTTAATTCCTTATTCTATCTTTATTCAGTCTAACATACATAAACTTAGAATATTCTTCTGCTACAAATAATCGAACCGACCTGTTTAGCTTTCATAATGCAGTAAAAATTGCAGTCCTATACGTAAGCCTCATGTTGAGTATACTAATAACAATGTACTCTTACTAGTTACTATAATATAAGCCTATGATAGCTTATATTCGGTCTCACACTGAAGTACTTTAACCTTATAATACTGGAATCGCATAACATTTTACACGAACTTCTCTTATATAAAATAGATCTAAAACCAATTTTTAGGCTTTATGAATCTGTGTGCTTTTCTAAATATTAAACTATTATATGTTTAAAGCTCTCTGGTATAAAAACACTGAAAGATGAATTAAAATTTCTATTATTAAGAATTTAGAATACGTTTTACAGATGACAGCTATGAATGTAGAATCTTATGTGCTTGTAAAGATCACTCTTAAATATTGAAATTAACTTGAAAATTTTAGAGGCACGTTTCAGATATTAAAATTTAATAAGATATACCATATAACTTTCAAAACAATGTAATTTTTTTTTTTAAAAAGTCTGATAAAGATTAGTAACTAATTTACAAAGGCATTGGTTGTCATGTACTGGTAAATGGTAAAACGTAATTTACTATTATTTACCATAGTATATTTCGTAACCGATTCGATTATCTTAGTTCATTTAGTAATTCAGAAAATCCGTTTTGCATTTTAGTCATTAGTGAATTAATAATTTACTTAATTTAGTTTAACAGACTCTACATTTTGACATACTCTTATCTTTTGGAATTTACAAATAGCTGATTATACATACTTTCAAAAAAATTATTCATTATAAGTTTTATCATACTTTTGTAAAATTATTGATATTCTGTTATTAATATATGGGCTTTGTAAACCCTTAAGTAAATCTTGCTAAAAACTATTTATTTATTTATTACTTAACATTTCGTGTTAACATTTCGTAGAAGCGCCCCCTATATAATGTAAACATTCCTGTTAGGTTTTTTCTTATTAAAGTTTTTCTTATTACTTTCAAGCGATCCAGTTTTGGTACCAATTGAAATATGTCACGCCGTTTATATTAATATTAATATTATTATTAATATTGATTAATATTAATGTTATCAGTAATATTAATTAATTTTAATATTATTATTAATATTAATATAATCATTAATATTAATTAATAATTAAATATTAGATGAGAATAAAACACATTTATATAAGGCAATAGTCAGATCAGTATATACTTATGGAACAGGAGTTTGAGCGGAAAATTTGAAAACAAAGCAACTGTTACGGCCTACAGAAATATAATAGCAAGAAAAAATAAACTAGATCGTGTAATTAACAACGATATTAGAACTCAAACAGATGTCACCGACATTGCATAATTTGTAAAACCAAACAGTTGCTGCAGTCTACAGATATGTAATAAGTAATAAGAAAAACTAAACTAGGTCATATAAGTAACTACATTAGAACTCAAAAATATATAATCTGTAAAATTCATATTATTTAGTTCACAACCATGGAATGAGATGATGTTATAAACCTCCAGTAATCACTTGGTAAATGATTGCCCTTAATGGGATACGAAAAGAAAGGACACTTCCAAAAGATCAGAGAAGAATTGTGTATTCCATTAAACAAAAATCCAAATTTAACATTAATTTGTTTATATATAGTTTTTTCGTAAATGAATTAATCGATGTATTTTTAAAGGTTTGGTTAATTTTAATGGCGGCAGAGTTTCTTCTTCTAACCAAGTAACGCGTAGACGTCATTTTGTTACCATAAATCCACTTACGAAAATCTGAGTTTTTAAAACTAACCTGCGTGATTGATAAAACTAAACTAATGATAATGATACAGAAGATTATTTTTCGATGATCTATACTTGGAATGTCTGTCAGATATTCAGTGTGAATAAATGTAAGTGGAAACTTATAGAGGACTGAACAATTGACTTTTGAATATCTATTAATATTGTAGCCTCTCACTAAAGAACGCAGACATACGGAGATTTGAGTGTATTTTTAGTTATATGCCTTTTTTAGTTTTACTATTTTTATCTGTTCACGGATGGGAATAAAGTATGCCATCAAATAGAGTATAGTCTGTAGGGCTAAATATATACATTTTTGTTTTTGGTGTTTCTCCGGTGACTAGCCTTCACCGTGTCCGGATATTATCAGTAGGCAATACACCATGGACATATGTCGATAACCATGTAAGTGGTTATGGAGCAATGACGATGACAAAGCTGTAGTTAGCAGAAACCTGGAGGTTTCAACACTAAAATATACAAATTCAGACTAACACAATTAAATTTGTTGTTTCTAGATTATATTATTATGTTGAGGCTAGTTGAGTCAGTGCATTTGAGCACTTTTACTCTCTATTAACTGAGAGGTTTCTTCGTAACCCCTCTCTACGCCTTTACTGGAATATTGTTTATCACTTCATCAGACTAAGCTATAATTAAGCTCAGATCTGCATAAATTCCCGAGGAGCCTATAAATATTCTGAGATTCGATAACGCGGTATTGGTAAGCCTGTCAGTTTCGTAAATAATTGCAGGGCTCTATCCTTTATGTATTTTTTTGATCTAAATATATGTATTTATAATTTTTTTTGTTTAACAACCAAACATAAGTCTATAATAAAATTCTTAAAAGAAGAAGAAAAACAGTTTATAAACAAATTAAGTATTTTGGAATTTCAATTGATAAAATAAGATTCTCACAGTCCTCGGATGTGTCCGTATAAAGTTTGATACATTGTACTTTTACAACATTCACTAGTAAATAATCTTTGTTGCAAAACTTGTTTCTCGGAAACTATTTATTTTTTCTATAAAACTTTTCATTTATCAAGACTCTATGATGATATGAATATTACACACGTATTAATTTATATTTACTTAATAAATTAGTAATTTAATATAAAAATTCTTTGTAAATTAGTAAAAAAAATATTTATCTCTAAAAAGATTGAATGTTTGAAAAAAAAAAATAATACTTAAGTTTTATTACTTCAGGTAAACTACAAAGCATTCACTAAACTTTACTAGTAAATAAATATATAGTAAATTTATTATTTCCTTAAAAGTCATGTGTAATTCGTTGAGATACTATATTTTTACAATTCTTTGAATGAAATATTTAAGTTTATTATATTAACATTTCACATTCGACACTTCTTATCGCAAAAGGTAATCATTGAGTTTTTGGTATTTGAAGTGATATACTTGAAATTGTATTTATTTATGTATGAAAATAAATGATTTCAAGTTGAAATACTCAAATCATTGTACTTTGGTGCACTTCAAACCATTATCAATCAAAACAGTTACTAAGGACGCTTTGACTATATACTATATCTTTATATATATAAACCACACCATGAAAAAAGTCTTTTAAATAAAAATTATAAAAAGAAATTATAAAGCATGTTAATTAAAATAAAATCAATTTTTTAATATTTTATTTTAAGAAATATTAACAAAAGTTTTTATTGTCGTAAATTCAGAAGCTTTCAAAAAAAATTAACACCAAAGTTATTAAGTTTCACAAAATCGATTAAAACGATTAACTTACAAACAAACCACTTTTGAACAGTTAAGCACATAATGCAGTAAATATTTGGAATAAATTTTTAATTTTAAAATAAAAATAAAATAAATAAAAAATAGTGTTATTTAAGAATTTTTAAAAAATTTATTCATATATAGAAAAATTGTGATGAAAATGCAGTCACCAATCGTAGTGACCACATGTCACATTTATAACATCAATTTATTGTATGTAGAAGGCTTTAGTTATACTGAATGGATTCTTAGTAAATTAATAAATGTATAATGGGTAATTATTTTAGAATTTATGAATCATCGAGGAAATTAAAGCACGAGTTTACTAATTTTATCTCAGGTATTTAATCTATAACAGAATTATTTAATATCAAGCACAGCTACATTTAAGATAATGGTGTTA